CCCCCACTCTGTGCCCCCCAAACTTGCCCCCCTGCCTGTCCTGGGGCAGGGACCTGGGCACTGTGCCCCCAGCCTCTTCCTGCGTTGTGTTCCATGGGCGCTGCCCCCCCCCACCTCTGACGCTCACTGTCTCCCTTCCCAGGGACGTGTTCCTGGCCTGGCTGGCTTCCCGCAATTCCAACAGCAGCAGCGTGGTGTTTGTGAAGTGAACAGCCGGGCTGCCCCCCCCCACCTCTGACGCTCACTGTCTCCCTTCCCAGGGACGTGTTCCTGGCCTGGCTGGCTTCCCGCAATTCCAACAGCAGCAGCGTGGTGTTTGTGAAGTGAACAGCCGGCTGGGGCTGCACCAGCAGCTCAGACTGTGGGGCTGGGCCGGCGCAGATGCTGCAGGGCACCGAGGGGCGGCCGGGGCGGGCACAGACTTTGTTTTCTACGGTTCTCTTTGGAGCTGATTAAAGGGGGCGGGGCCAGAGCTGCTTGTGCCACTTATTGGGGAGGGAGCACAGGCCCCCTGGCCGCCAGTGCAGTCCTGAGCCCCCTCCCCGGGGGCTGCCTGTTCCCAGCGCCAGGAGCTGCCTGGTCCCAGCATCGGTTCTCGTGTTTTATTACAAAATACCCCCCTTCCCCTACATGTTCTTGGGCTTGGAGATGATGCCGTCAGGGTAGCGCTGCTTGAACTGCGCCACCACGTCCGGGTCCAGCAGGTGGATGCCGTCCAGCTGGTTGCCCAGGGTGATCCTGGCCAGAAGAGAAGGTGGAGTGAGAATGTGCCCGGGGAGGCTGCCAGCAGGGGAGGGGCTCGAGAGACAGCCCACAGGGGAGGGGCTCGAGAGACAGCCCACAGGGGAGGGGCTCGAGAGACAGCAGGCAGGGCCTCTGGTGCCGGGGGACACCATCAGCAAGGGTGGGGCTAGAGAGACAGCCGGCAGGGCCCTGGTGCCGGGGGACACACCAGCACAGGGACTGAGCTAGACCCAGCCGGCAGGGCCTCTGGTGCCGGGGGACACACCAGCACAGGGACTGAGCTAGACCCAGCCGGCAGGGGCTCTGGGGCCGGGGGACACACGAGGACCGGGG